CCCGGAAGTCGAAGATACAGCGTTTCGCATGCGCGCGCATGTCGTTTTAGGGTGTAACGTAAACTTGCATGCGTGATATTATGCTTCTTAATATTCCCTTCTATCGACTGTCAGCAAACTGACATGTTTGTATTTTAATCCATGACAAAGCGGGAGTATTTTTGTACCTCCGTCTCGCTACTCCCAGGAAAGTCGTCTATAACTGCGCCCGTGTGTTGCGTGTATGTGTGCGTGTTTGTACTACATTTCAATGGTTATTATTCTTGCTACAGTTTGGTTACTCACGCGATTCATTATTTGTATTTAATTTTGCTGAATCATGTAGTTCACAAGTGGTTTTACTATTATGTATCCAGAATTTTTTTAATGATTCTATCGCTTGTGGCGCTAGTCCGTCATATTGGAGGAACGAAATCGCAACAACCACGCGGAAGTCACCGGACATTTCTCGAAACGTCTAAATGCGGCAAGGAGGATTCCTGAAAGTTCTGGATATGTGGGAAAAGTATATAAAAGCCAAACATGCCACCAGCACAGCAGTTACCTGATAACCTCGATTAATAAGAGAGAAGAACAAAACGTCTGCTCATATTTCTGCATTAACCACGACACTGCAGTAATGGCTTATTATATCGCATCGATACCAGCAAACTACTGTGCCCATCGGCAGTTACCCTACTTAGGAAGACAAATGTGGCCGTATTATACGTCAGACTGGCAGGACCTGGCCCTCGCTGACGCCATTTTAGAAGGGATCGTCAAACGTCGTACCAGCTGCGACGATTGGCATGCTGGAACGTCACGAAAATCTCCCGTCAAACGCACAGTTGCCAAACAGACCGATACGCCCGATGACGGGAATTGTGAACGGGAGGCTGTGAGTGGAGAATCTGTTACTGAATTGGAGCAGAGCCACATTGAACCAAACGCGAAGAACTTCACGCTGACTGTAGATGTTGAACACTTCAGTCCCGATGACCTGAAGGTAAAACTTTCCGATCATGTTCTCACGGTGACTGGCGAATCAACGGAGACCGACACAGACGGTAATGTGTATAGCATGTATACCTTCACTCGTGAGTTCACCATTCCGGAAGACGTTGACGTCACATCCCTGACCTCTAAACTTACAGGGGACGGTGTGCTGATATTCGAGGCTCCACGACTGGCTTTGAAAGAACCAACAGAAAGACACTTGCCTATTACAGTTGACAGAACTGACGAGCCAAAAGAGCCGACAATGAATGAACTGACTGAAGAAACAAAGTCAGAAATTGAAATGGCGCAAATAGAAGAATCGCTGGAACGTGTAGGAGATAAACAAAATGTCGTCGATGCAGAACATTAATCCGAAACAGAGTGTATTCCATCAATATAATCGGACAGTCGCGATGAATGTCATCGCTCGAATAAATTATTTGACTGACAATTGTTGTCAAGCACTGTTTCGGTATATACTGATACTGGAAAATATTTATCCTATATTTTGTTCCATAATTTCGGTTCATCTGCATTTGTTTTCATCTTGTATGCAATGTTTACTTTTGTGAAAATTACTCAATCCATGATTATTTTACAGACGAATTGAAATTTTCCGAATTTCCAAATTATTTTTGACAATTATTTTTTTCACATAT